CAGAATGTAAACATTTTACTTAATCAAGTATGATGCAACATTGTTGGTACTGATTTATTTGCAATCCTAGCTGTCATTTTCTGGTACCGTGAGAATGTGTCCTTCTGGGGTAATGCATTTAGTGAGGCTGGTTTTGGGAGGGACTGTAACAGGCATGAGGCACCCGTATTAATAAATCCCAGACACTGTGCTGATCACAAAGATCAGTACAGAAAGTGAAACAGATACAACCTGGTATCAATAAGTAGGTGTGTTTGGTAAGGGAAAGGCATCCCCCAGGTGAGAGAAAGGGGGGATCTCTAAAGGACTGATTCACTTGCTGCTTTCCCTCTGCTCAGAACCCCTGACTTACTTGGGACTCGGCTCTCAGCCCTAGAGACTCACATCTCTCTGTCCCAGCTTCCTGGCCCCGGAAGTGTGAGAGAGAGCATTCCCAGGATTCCCTGCTCCATCCCCTCCCCACTCTGCTGCTCATCCCCAGTTCTCCACGCTTCTCTGGCTCAGAATCTCACATAGGAAACAGGAGAAGAATAAACAAGGAAAATACACTGATGGCAACATGCTAGTCCATGCTTTGTATATTTTAGTTGCTTTAATTCTCATATAACAGTGCATGCTGCATTGGCATCCTTATCCCATTGCAGAGGAGAAGGCTGAGGCATGAAGAAATGTAAAACCATCCCCCTCAAAAACATTCTCAGGATTAGCCAGGAGAGGGAGAGCCCAGATTTGAACCCAGCAGGCTCTCTCCAGAAGTCACAGTATTAATTAATATTTCATATTCTCTGGAAAGACTTGAAAACACTTTACTCAGTAATGAAAGACCATGTTAAGCTATGAAAATTGGAACTATTTTTTCAAATCCCTTGTGCCCTTGCTTTGAGGGTTAAATTGTGGGCTCAAGACAGAGGCTCCTGTGAGCCCCAGGCAGATGTGAGGAAGTGAGAAGTGTAGAAGTGAGGACCTGGGTCTGTTGCTGGAGAGGCCCAGAAAGGCAGCCAACCAAGAGCTGTTCTGCCTTCCTGACTGGGTCTCTCTGCCTTTTCTCCTCTAGTTGAGCCCAAGGTGACCGTGTACCCAACAAAGACCCAGTCCCT